CTCTGCCCCCCTGGCGGGAGGGGGAAATCTGCCAGGCCTGAGCTGCCCAGAGCCCTCAGCTTTCCAGGCTGACAAATCCCAAACCAAACACTACCCCCCCCACACACCCCCAGGGGATGAGGGAGGGTCTCCCTTACCCTTCAAAACCAGCAGATGTTTTCAGGAGGCTCTACTGGGGTTTCTTAGAAAAATTAGAGTATGTTACCTCAAATCTAACCAATAAAAAAACCTACAGAGGAAGCCTTGATTCCCCACCGCTTCTCACCTCGCCTTTCATAACATGTGCACTTCTGCACTACCCAAGAACACATGCATCTTTTCTAGTTGGTGGGGGTTTGATTCCTTTGAAAACTGTCTGAAATAAGTAGGTGACCAGCGGGGTTTCAGATCCGATTCTGAGACTCACGCTGTCCCTGAAGCAGACTGTGTTAACAAGATACAGCCTCCCACCCGCCACCCCTGTGATGCCGGCAGGTGCTACAGGCTGGCCCAGGTCCCATCAGCCAGCAGCCCTTTGAGCACTCTGTCCCAGGCAGCAGAGTCTGGCTGGGTGGAAATGGGGAAGAGTGGAAACAAGATGGACTTGGCCTGGCCTGATAAGTAGCCTGGAATTAGTAGCTACACAGTTTAGGCTCCAAAACAAACTCATACACACTCCAGCTATGGGACTATCATTCTTCTAAGACACCTGAAAGACATTGGTAGTAATATATTTTCAGAAAATCAGTCACCCAATTACCTTTCCTACAACGTTCACTAGGAAATATTATCCAAATCATTGAGACTTGAGAAAAAAATGCTTGAATTTTACAGTTTTCAATTAAAAAAAGAAACGGGGATAAATATGAAATTAATAGTTAGAGAGGCCTAAGAACAATGACACCAGCTGCATTGCGGAAGGGCTTTTGCTGATAAATCTAGTTGGGGAAAAGTCAACTACAAAGGGTACAAAACAGTAATAAGTAAATAAAGTTTAGAGGGTTATGAAATTTATAGAGCAAGTCAGTAAAGAACTGAAGGAAAGAAACAAACAAAACAAAAAACTAAAAACCCTTGTCTTCCAAAACTTCAGATGAGATTATTCCTTTTGATTTTTATAATGAAGCGTGTTACATATTATAAGTGTCTGGAAAATGTTTAAGGACACTCTCTAGTAAAATCGTAGTATAAGCAATGGTGCATAGTACACATTCAAAAAGAAAACCATAAAAAACCCAACTACAGTATTTGGTGTGGTCATTACTTTAAATTTTAGCCATTCCAGTGGTATCTCATTGTGATTGTAATATGCCCAAAACTACAGGTGTGCTGGGGCAAAGGTGAGGCACAGGCTGAACTACCTGGAAGCTCTGACTAGAGTCACTCCTCATACCAATGACAACACAGAAAATGGTAACTTCTTTTTTTTCCAGGTTTATTTAGATTGACATATAACATTGTATAAATTTAAGGTATATGACATATGGTTTGATATCTGTATATATTATGAAATGATTAACAAAATAAGTTAACATCCATACTTAAATTTTTTTCCTTGTGGTGGGAACTTTTAAGATCTACTCTCAGCAACTTTCAAATATACAACACATATTAACTGTAGTCATCACACTCTACATTACATCCCCAGAACTCACTGGAAGTTTGTACTTTTTGACCTTCACTCAGTCCCCCCACCACCTACCACCTGCCTTTGGCAACCACCAATCTCTTCTCTGTTTTTGAGTTTGGTTTTCTTAGATTCCACATATTAGTGAGATCATATTGTACCTGTCTTTCCCTTATTTCCCCTAACATAATGCCCTCAAGGTCCATCCATGTTGTTGCAAATGGCAGGAGTTCCTTCCTTGTCAGGCTGAATAATATTCCACTCTATACATATACCACATCCATCCATTCATCCACCGATAGCCACTTGGATGGTTTCCATGCCTTGGCTTTTGTAAATAAAGCTGCAATGGACACAGGGTGCATATATCTCCTTGGGATAGTGATTTCATATCCTTTAGCCATTTACCCAGAAGTGGGATTGCTGAATCATACGGTAGCTCTAATTTTTTGAGGAATCTCCATACTTTTTTATAGTGCTGTACCAATTCACATACCCATCAACAGAGTATAAAAGGGTTCCTTTTTCCCCCATTTTTACCAGCACTTGTTATCTCTTTTTTATAATAGCCATTTTAACAGATGTGAGATGATATCTCATTGAGGTTTTGATTTGTATTTCCCTAATGTTGACTACTTTCCAATGTACCTCTTGGCCATTTGAATCTCTTCTTTGGAAAAATGTGTTTTCAGTTCCTTTGCTCACTTTTAACTGGATTATTTGGTTTTTGGGGTTTTTTTCCTATTGAGTTGTATAAGTTCCTTATATTAGCCCCTTATCAGATATAAGATTTGCAAATATTTATTCCCAATCTATAGGTTGTCTATCACTTTGCTGATGGCTTCCTTTGCAGGCTTTTAGTTGATAATAAAGCCTTGTTAATTTTTAATTTTGTTGTCTGTGCTTTTGGTGTCATATCCAAAAAATCCTTGATCAGACCAAAGTCAAGGGGCTTTACCCTATGTTTTCTTCTAGGAGTGTTATGGTTTTGAGGTCTCACATTTAAGTTTTTATTCCATTTTTAGTTAATTTTGGTGAGTGGTATAAGACAGAGGTTTAGTTTCATTCTTTTATACGCAAATATTAACTTTTCCCAGCTCCGTTTATTGAAGAGACTATGTCATTTTTCTACTGAGTATTCTTGGCTCCCTTGTCTAATATTAGTTGACCATATATAGATGGGCTTATTTTCGGGCTCTCACTTCTGTTCCATTGGTCTGTGTCTGTTTTCATGCCAGTACCACAGTTTTGATTACCGTAGCATTGTAAACAGGAAGTGTGATGCCTCCTGCTTTGTTCTTCTTTCTCAGGATTGCTATGGCTATTGCTTTTGCCCATCTGGTTAATGACATTGAACATCTTTTTAATGTGTTTGTCACCTGTATATTCTCTCCAGTGAAATGTCCTTTCTTGTCTTTTGCTCATTTTCTGACTTGATTTTTATGATCTGTGCTACCTCTAAACTGCAGCTTCTTCATATGGAAAATAAAGGATAAAACACCTACCTTATAAGGTCAGATGACACATTTACTGAAATGTAAGAACAAATTTAAGTCTTCCAATTCCAAATCTACCTGCTACTTTACTCCTTTCAAGAATGCCTGAACTATTCTAGACTCTGTGCTCTTCCCATATATTTTGCAATAAGCTTGCCTGTGCCTACTACAAATCTTGCTGAGATTTTGACAGGAATTGCATTAAACCTATAGAAGTGACATCTTTACTGTGTTTTCCAGTCCATGAACATGGTATGTATCTCTATATATTTAGGTCTTCTTTGATTTCTTTCATCAGCATTTTCATACATAGATATTGTATATGGTTTAAGTTTACACCTAAGTACTTTGTTTTCTTTGGAGTGACCCTAAATGTACTGTACTTTTAATTTCAGTTTTCACATGATCACTGTTACTATGTAGGAATGCAATAGATATTAAGGTGTTGATCTTGATCTTATATACTGTGACCATGCTAAACTCACTTATAAGTTCCAGGAGGGTTTTTTTTGTTTGGGTGGTTTTGGTTTTGGTTTATAATGGATTTCTTGATATTATTATCTGTCATCAATATAGATAATCATATCATCTGAAAATAAGGAGATTTCTTTCTCTCTTTCCAATCTGTACATCTTTTCTTTTTCTTGCCTCATTGCAGTGGCAAGAACTTCCAGGATTATATTGAATAAGAATAGTGAGAATAGACCTACTTGCTTTGTTCTCAATCTTAGGGGGAAAACATTCAGTCACTCATGTTTGTTAATACAGTGATTATGTTTATTTTTGAATGCTGATTCAGGTCATATATATCAGTAATAAATCCCATTTGGTCATGGTGTACAATCCTTTTTTGGGGACATTGTTGGATCCAGACAGACAAGGAAATAACCTGTGTTATTTCCACTGTACCATAGCTACTCTCCATAATTCTGATTTTAGTTCAAATCCTAGAAAAGTCCTTTCTAGTTTTCTTCCTGAAATTTTATGGTTCCCCATGGTAGGTGTTCTCTCTTGCTGCAACCAGCTCATGAACCTAACTTTCCTTGATTACAGGTGTCTTCCTGATGGTCTTTGGCTGGAAGGCATTATCACTGAGAACTCTTGGATTCCCAGAGTAGTTGAATTTTAGAAATACTGTACTGGTGACAAGATTACTATTTTACCAGACGGCTTATAAAGATTAGTGGCTGTTATTTCTACTATAAACTTCAAAAGTAAACACAAAATATCTCAAGAGATTAGAAAAATTTTATTGGGCATCACAAACTGGATTATATATTATAAATTCTGATAAAAGTAATAATATTAAAGGTATTTTCAGTAGTACCACAAATTATCTGTACCTGAAGATAAAACCAAATAGTAAACTGGTAAGCATACACTAAAATTTACTCATGTTTAAAATACCACTTTGTTTAGAAAATTCACATACATGTTTTTCTGGTTATGAAGTGGAAGGGACACACAAAGAGCTACATAGGATTTTCATTTAATGGACACATGAAATATTCCCCATGCTCTGAGTCATCAGAAGGCTACAAAATCTTGTAATTTTTTTATATGGTACATAAGACAGCATAATTGTTTCATAGAATAAAATACAGTACTTCTAATTCTCCTAATGCTCCCTTTCAATCAACCTCACTGTGAGAGCTGCTCACAAGTGTATAGCTGCTTGGCTGGCTAATGTGTTCCTACATAATTTCTGCATTGGGTTGGGGTGGGAAATGGCAAAAGGGGCATTCTAAGCTAGAAGTTCTGAGAATATAGAAGTGGAGATTTCTCATTAGAAACATTTATACTTGCCTACTTTGGAACTGGTCCTGTGCAAAAGCTATCACCATTGAATTAGTCTATTTGACTATGTGCTATAATTAGAATTTCTCTTTGATTCAGAGCAGCTTAAAATAGCCTCACATACCCTGTTGATTCTTGCCTAGTTGAGACAGAAGCAAAAATTTGGGGAAAGAAGGTAGAAATGAATAATTTCAATGATCCTTTATTAATACTGATATAGTCATTCGCTCATCAGGATAGACAACTTAATGACACTAAGTATTCTAAATTATTTCCCTCTCCGAATCATGACTTATATCTGATTTTGGCTAGGCAGAGGAGGTGAGGGTTTACCTCTAGGAAAAAGTAGAATAATGGGGAAAAGAAGAAAAGTCCAGGGCAGAGCAGGCACCAAATCTAGGGAGGTAAAGAATGTTAACTGCTTGGAACCAAAGAACTAGGTAGCATAGGAGACCGTATAAGACGACCTGGGCGACAACAGCTTGATCAATAAAATAAAAATGCCAGTTCTATTTAGAGAAGGAGGCAACTCAGTAAAGTACAAGAATTCATAAACCATACAACTTGTCCTTTAATACCTTGATACAATAAAGAAGTCTTTTCCTAAGTGAATTCAGTCATGCCACCTTCTGAGTAAGAACTGTGTCCTGACACACAGTTTCTATGATCCCCTTTGAAGAATAATTAGAAAAGGACTTGGAAGAAGAAACCGGACATTTCCTGAGAACTACTTAACTGCAGGCCTGATGCTGAGCACTATGTATTTCACTTAAGCCTTATTAAAAACCCTCACACACAGCCCAGGTCTTAGCTTCAGAGGAAGAGGAGGGGAAAAATGAAAAGCTGCAGGAAATTCCTCAGAGAAAGGCATCTGCCAAGTGAGAAGCTGGTCTTTCCACGCTCTAAAGCCGCCTCAAATGATGGTTCTGTGTTAGAAGGTGGGAGCGTGGCACTTTCTCTGAGTAGCTTTTGAGAGGAAATTTCTACTGGGGTTTAGAACACTGAGGATAAAGAACTGTTCCTTTTCCAGAAGGTGAAAACAGGGGGAGGCTCAGGAACATGTGCAGCCCTGAGTGTGTGATATTGGGCGCAGGTTCAGGCTGGGGTGTGGGAATTCATTCCCAGTGTGTTTTCCAGATGCTGCTCTGGTCCCGTCTACACACCTCTGCTTTCCTATAACACCTCACTGTCCTCAGTTCGCTGTCCACACCTGATGTCCCTGCCATGTGTAGCCCTATAAGACTAGAAACAATGGTTTGGGGTCACAAAGAGTAAGAGGAATGAGCATAATCTGTTTTCATTCACTTGTATCCATAAGAGAATAGCAACAGAGAGGAGGAGGAGAGGCTTTAGAAGTGGGCACTTAGCAGACTGGTGCTGATGGTTTCCTGGGGAACAGAGGGGTGGCAATAGGACACTTCTTGAGCTTCAGAGAACAGGTACACCTGGATGTGAAGGGCATCATGGCCTGAGGCTGATGTACTCAGATATGAACTATTTCACCTTCTGAGGCTAAGGCATGTTTTAATAAAGGTATAGAGATAGATAACCTAAAAATTTTGGACAAGAAAGAAATACTTGTTCTTGCCCTCTTTGTCACCTTGGGGTCTCTGCCTAAAGAGAAAGATGTTAAGTGGGGAACTGCAGACACACCCTGAAATGCAATCCAGCTGAGATGCTGGATGACTTCTCCATCAAGCATCTTGAGCAGGGTAGAGACGCTGTGCAGTGGGCACTGGGCTGGAAGTCATGGTACTCGGGTTTGAGCCTCAGCTGTTTCTTGCTCAAATCACTCATTTCTGGGTTCAGCTATGAAACAAGGGGTTTAGAATAAATGTGGCAGTGATAACCCTCTGCTTTGAAGATTCAGGAGCAGGTGATTTTCACTGAATGTTAACTTGTTTGCGGGAATGGCAGCAGACACTCCACCATGTGGGGGTCACATTTCAGGGTTTGTAACTAGGGAATCAAGGAAACCTGCTCTCCCACTGCCCGCTTCTCAGGGATGCTCCATTTTGGAGACTAAAGTTTCATTCCAGGGGTCAGGTGTCAGTAGCTGCAGCAGAGGAGAGGACAAGTGCTCCCTGCTTAGAGGACTGAGTGGCCACCTGGTTAAGTGAGAGGCTGTCAATCTTGCCAGTCTTAGTGTAAGAGGTTTTCTCCTAGTAAGCAGGCAGACTGGACATGAAAGTGGTCGGACAAGAATTATTGTTAGAATACTTAGGAGAGGAAAGAAAAGCAATCTGATGAGGTGTTGATGTAGATCCACCCAACCCAAGGTCTCTGAACACTCAGTGGAGTTCAACTGTTAAGAAGCATAGGACGAAGTATGGCTGAGTCTGTATCAGAGGCAAGCCTGGCCTTCAGAGTCTGGGGAAAGAACTTTCACTCCCCAAAGTTAGGGTAGGACCCAAGAGCTGAAGCCGGTGAAGCCAGAAGGCAGTCAGGAATGGCATTCCAGCAGCCAGTGGTCTACTTAGGGAAGGATGTGGAACTTCTGTCAATGGGGCAAGATACCTTAGATTCTGATTACCTTGGACTCCAGGGACAGATAAAAGAGAAATAGCCTAAACAGGGATGGGTAAGATTCCCCAGTAAACAGTGGGAGTCCCAATTTGAAATGGGCAGAAATATAGAGTGTATACACTTGGAGATGCTGAGTATAAGCCAATGCTCCTCACTACTCAGGGTAGATCTTGCCCCAAAACACTGTTACTACCCGTTATATTTTTTTCAATCATGAAAAATAAAATTAGGTTCTAAAATTTAGAATCTGGGTATGATTTCTATGGGCTGATTTTCTAACAATGAGCAAGCTGATTACAATGGCTAGTTATCTGGGGACAAATTTATTGGTAATCTGTAAAAGTCCCTGAAAACCGAATTATTTATGAAAAGACCAAATGATTATGGCACTGAAAGCTCATACTAAGAGAGGAAGGTCATTGATTATCATTTATCAAAAGTTTTCATTGTTTTTAAAATCTGGAGTGGAGTGGCTGCAGGTTACTTTCCCCAACAGTGTTTTAAGAAAACTGTCAGCCCATTCCCTCAGGCCTTCTGGTCTCCATTTCTGACACAACTAGTATTCTCTAGTTTTAGAGGAAAACCTGCCAGTCTGGTCCCCAACATAGTCCTAAACAGCCTAGATAAAATGTAATGTTTAGCTTCCTTTCCTGGACCAAAAGGAAAAAAAAAAGTAGAGGTGTTTATTATGCCTACATAGCCCCTCACTTCTCACTTAAAATATATTAAGTGACTCATGAAGAGATGGGGAAGACAGAGCAATCCCAGCCCACTCAGGGAAACGAGTATTTCAGAGTGGAAGGTACTTAATAGAGTAGGAAAGTCTGAGTTTTGCCCCATCAATATTCAACAGATAGAACCATTAAAACAAATACAAACTTTACAAACACTCTGATCTGGGGTGGGGAACAGTTACAAGGCTTTCCATATTTCATCCTTATGGAGACGTGATGTAGTTTTGAAAGAGAGAGGGAACAGGTAGGCTTACATACCATTTAATTGGTTTATAGGCCACACATGAAAACCATGGAGCTATAATTAATTAACAAATACACTGAAGAGAACATTTAAAAAACAAGAGGTGTTTCTATGAATATTTTAGTGTTAACATTGGGAGTGCAAGGATTATAAATCAGAAACTATTAACTGTCCATGAATAGCTCACTTTTTTAAAATGTGGGAACTACTGCTTTATTTATTTATTAATCCTCACTGGAGGATATTTTTTCCATTGATTTTTTTGGGGGGGGAAGGAGGGGGAAGAGAGAGAGAGAAACATTGATGTGAGAGACACATTGATCGGCTGCCTCCTGCAAGAGGATCCTACAACCCAGGTATGTGCCCTTGACTGGGAATCAAACCTAAGACCCCTTGGTCTGTGGGCCGATGCTCTAACCACTGAGAAAAACTGGCCAGGGCTCACATTTTTACCTAACAGATGGTTGAGAATGAAATAAGGAAAGTAAGTGTTGTGAAAAGACAAGCCTTTCAAAATCATGTCTGGTAGCATGGTCTCACTTGAACACTTTGTCAACAAGTGCTATCAGAAGTCACTGCAAGTATTCTCACAATGGCTAGAAATGTAAGCATTACACAAACACAAGCTTTCCTTTCACTTCAAATACGAAAATAGAAAGTGTATGGAAATTCAGGCATGTTTGACAAGGCCGGAAATAAGCTGTCCTTCTCTCACAGGTTGCTGCCCTGTGCCTTAAATCCATTCCACAGCAGGATGCTTACAAAACCAAGCTGCTAGCATCTTTCCTAAAGTCTGATCGCTTTACTATTAACTCAGACTCCACAACCTTAAAAGTAGCACTAACGTACAAGCTTAAATGCTGAGAACAGGAACGGATTATTCTTTTCAGCTAGCATATCCTTCCAGTCCAAATATCATCTAATATTCGAAAGCACTTAGAGAATACCTCATATTCCATATGAGCTCTTGAAAGAGTGAGGGTGTTCCCTCAAAGGAAAACTGAGGTGCTTACCAAAGGGAGGGGGGAAAGAGGCAGGCATGTTTCACTCATTTCTGCTCTCCACGGTAACTTAGCACTGAACCTGGCATGTGGAGACCCCTTAATAATTGTTAAATGAGAAACTTAAATGGCTTAGGAGTTAGAATTCTTTCTGTGTCTTCAAACATGCCACTTTTCTTTGGCTCCTACTTATGATGACAAGTAGACATACATCTTTTTAAACAGTCATCCACCTGTTTTTCAGGAGAGGAACTCTACTGTTTCAACCCACTGTCTCAGTATAACTGGATAACCTCGTCCCACTCATAAATAGGCCAGATGCCGTTGGGCTGCACGTTGGGGGGAGAGCGCTTCCAGTCCCAGGTCTTCACAGGGATCTGCCAGGTCTTACCATAGTTGGCTTCGATGTACTCGATGGTTTCACAGGGCACATGAACCTTCATGTCTACAAACTCAGTCCAGCACAGTGTAAACTTGGGAAACAGGTATCTGTGGCAAAACAGAGGCAATGTGGAAAGGGGTTAGGCTTCAACACGGGACATTTTAGCTAAGAAACCCAGCTGAGAGTCAACTCTTGGTTGAAGAAGTCCTCTCCCAGTAAATAGCTTTGGGGATAGATATAGTGGACATTTTATTGTTTTTGGCTGTCCAGTATGCCTTTCCTCCTCTGATGTTAACAGCTTCCCAACTTCCCTCCCCTATTCCCAGTCCCTGTGACTCAGGAGGGCTGACCCTATCCCTAGGTATCACAGATGGGTAAAAAAGACCCAGGCCTGACCAGTAAACTATAGTCTTCTGTTGTGTGTTGGTGTTTTCTGGAAAATGTTTATTCTCTTCACAACATGGTAAGTAATGAGAGTTGAAATGGCAATAGCAGCAGATCACAGAAATCTGAAATACCAGAGGATTAAAAGAAGAAGAAAAAAAGGAACAGGGAAAAAAGCCAGATGTCAAACTGTAATTGTGTTGCGGAAATGAGATCTAACTGGGATGTTCTCCAGGGAAAGGTCAGTTCTCATGTATTCTACTTTCGAATACCATGTTTTATCCCCAGAAGAACAGAAAGCCATACATGAAAACGAGAGGATGAACAACTTCTAAAGAAAGCAACAGGTCCCTTCTACCCAAACCAATGGGTGCTGGCAGTTCACGGACAATCCCAGCTGGTTTCTATGAAAAGACAGCCACAGCGAATCTTATAGCTGAGGGGAAATAAGATACAGCATCGCTCCACCATCTGCTGGGCCTACTTTTACTCTGCACACTCATATTCATAGAATTGCTTATTTTGTCATCAGACATCTCCATCCATCACCAGCCTCCACCCTCCCCAATCAGATGCTGGTCAGCAGAATGTCCACCTGTTCCATCCTATCGAGTTGACACACTGGAGTTGAAATGAGGCATAAATCATGGTCTATCTAGTAACATCGGCCAGGAAATGTCTCGCTTAAATATTAGCCTCTACAGTCTCATCAAAACGGTGAAAGAAAAATCATAGGTCAGGGATAGACAGGGTAATAACAATATCACAAATTTTACAAAAGCAACGGTTCGAACAATAAAAGATTTATAAACAAAACCAAAACATTTAAAAAAAGAACTCAAAGACAATTTAACTCAAATGTTAATTTTGTTCCTAAATAGAAATATCCCTAAACTCTTTGTGGTTTTCTTTTCACCAAGTAATTTTCAATCCATTCAGCCAAAAGAAAATTCCAACTTCCTAGGAGAAAAGATAAACAAACCATAAAATATAAAACTGACTGTAAAATGGGACTGTGGAGAGGAAGGGGGTGGGGGCTGAGTGACACAGACCAGCACATGCCATGTTCTCTGTCCAGGTTACCAGTAAACAATGACTTATAGTACACCATGTGTCTGCAACATTACCTTAGCTTTCAAAGTAAAGAGTAAGTTCAGCTAAGTAGATTCAAAATGTGAAAAAACTTAAATTCAGACAAAGCAACCCTAAATCAGAATATAAATTCAAGGGATCTTACACACACACACACACACACACCCTTCCACTTATTTTCTATTTCATACCATTTTTACTTTTATTTTTGCATAAAACAGTAATTAGAATTAAGAGTTAGTTGGAATAGACCATTTTCCCCCCTCACAGAGATCCTTAAAATCTCTAAAACTATTTATTGGTGGTTGGATAAAGTAATTTCATCAGTTTAACTGTACAACATATAAACATAATTGCTAAATGAAATACACTGTTTTTTACTATTACTAGGTAAGCTAGGCTAAGTGAGTTAGAGGCATCAATTAAAACTGAGCCTGACCTTTTTAAACATAAGCCTACATTAAACTCTGAAGCTGGAACAGCAGAGCCATTTTATTAAACAAGAATTTCCTGTAAAACAACACAGATGGTTTATTCTCATCACTAATTTTGTCTCTTCTTTTAACTCTTAGTTTCTTTTTCTTGTGTTATTCCAGTGCTTTAAACCCTCTAGCTCAATAGAAGCAGGGACAGCAAGCATTCTCATGTTCTTTTCTAATTTTAATAGAAAGGCTTTTAAAGTATATCATTAAGTACGATAGCGCACTCTACATTTTTGGTATATTTCCTTTATCAGGTTAAAGGAATTCTAGATCCCTTTTACTCCAAGTCTACTAAAAACCTTCTGTCTTTTTAATTAGGAAATTTATCAAGAGTTTTAAATGTCACCTACTGAAATAATCATGCAGTTCTTTTCTCCCTTTAATCTTTTAATCCTTTAATGTTGAGAATTATACTAATACACACACACTACAAAATTCTATTCATTTGTGTTTCATTTAGGATATTTTTATCTGTGTTCACTGAGACTGTAATTTCCCTTAAATTTTTTTTATGCTGTCCAAGTCCACTATTGCTGTGAATATCATAAAACGAGTTGCTCACAGGCCATATTGTTAAGAGTCATGTAAGCTCATGAATATTATTTCTTCTTCGTGGACTGCTTCTTTGTAAAATTATGTAGTGGGCCTTTTAATGCTTTAATATCCCCCAAATTCTATTTTGTCTGATACTAAAATAATATATAGTACTGGTTTTCTTTTGTTAGTAATTTTAGGGCATTTTTTTTTTTTTTTAATCCCCATAATTTTCAAGTTTTTGTGTGTGATTTTGCTTTAGGTGTGCCTCTTGCCAAACACTATACAGCTAAATTTTGTTTCTCTATCCCATCTGATAATCTATATCTTTTTACAGGTTAGCTTAATCCATTAACATTTATGGTAATAAATTATATATTTGGACAAATTTTGAACTCTAGAGCCACTCTGCTGGGGCTCAAATCCTGCCTTCACCATTTATTAGTTATGTGACCTTGGTCAGTCTCCTTGTGCCCTAAGTTCCTCATCTGTAAAATGAAGGCACTAACAATACTTCAGAGAAATGTTAGCACAAAATGAGCAAACAGATGTCAAGTGCTCAGAACACTGTTTAGCACATATAGTAAGTGCTATATTGATACTGACTACTGTTACAACAATTTTCACATGTTTTCAGTTTACCATACTTTTTCTTTGACCCACCTTTCCTACTTTCTTTTGGATTAACAAGGGTTTTTAAGTTCTCTTTTATTCTGCTTGTTAACGGGTCTTTAAGTGTGGATCTAAGACATGAACTTTTTTAGTCTTTGCATATATGTAAAAGTCTTTATCTTAACCTCCCTCTTGGATATTAGTTTTAACTGTACATAACATTCTAAGTTGACAGCTATTTCTCCTAGCTTTTGAAAGATGTTACCACATTATCTTCTGGCCTCTCATGTTGCTGAGGTGTATTTCCTGTTCCTTTGTGAGTAACCTATTTTCTCTAATAGCCTGTAAAATTTTTTGGTTTTGATATAATAATTTCCTTAAGAAGCGTCTAGATGTAGATTTATTATGTATCCTGCTTGTCTGTCTTTAATTTGGAAACTCTCTTTAAATATTACCACATAACATTCAAAATTCTTTTCTGAATGACGCAATTTTGCACCTCCTACTCACTAAAGGTTTGGAGGTGTAATTGAGGGCTAAGATACAATCTTTATGTTGTAAAATAGAAAGGCATAAACAGAGTAGAAAATGTGAGATCATTTTTAGAAAAGCCAATGTTTTCAATACACTCATTTAAAGAAATTACCCAAATTTGCCTTTTTAGCTTCACAGCTGTCAAATGTGTTTTTTGCGAGCTAAAACTATGAAAGCACGGCATCTATGAAACCGAGAGAACCTATGAGTGGGGATTCAACAACTAACCCTAGTCTTTAACTTCTTGTGAAGCAGAGTGAATAGAAAAACTGGGGTGATGTAACTTTAAGGCTTTGATGCCCCAAAGGTGCAGAAAGGACAGACTGATCAGCAAAAGTGCCCAAATAAAGCATGAAAATGGCAAAGAGGAAAAACAAGTCTATAGAAATTCAGAGGAAGGGGAGATTATTTCCAGTTAGGGGTACTGAGGAACAACTTCAAAAATGGAGGCAACGCAGTGCCCTCAAGTGGGAAGAACTGGGACAGCGATGTTGTGCAATAGCCTGGTACTACTTACTGACACGCTGAAATCTTGGACTAAAATCAAATTTCAAAAGGCCGGGTGTCTAAATGCAATGTGGTATTTTGGATTAGAGCCTAGAACAGAAAAGGGACATTTGTGGAAAAACTGGTGAAATACAGATAAAGTCTGTAGTTTAGTGAACTGTGATGCACCAATGTTGGTTAATTAGTTTTGACAAGTGAACCATGGTAATAGTAGGTTCACATTAGAGGAAACTGGGTAACTGGTGTATAGAAACTCTCTGTACTTTCTTCCTAACTTTTCCGTAAATCTAAAATTGCCACAAAATAAAATGTTTATTGAAAAAAATGGGGAGGCAGGTAAATAAAGCATGGTGACAAGGAAGGTTAAGAAGGCTTGTACAGCTACTTCGAGCCTTAGGGCACCAAAGGAAAAAGCAAGACATTGAGGAACAAAATGTTATACTTTTACTGGTACTAGAGCATTGTTTACACATCCCTCTATTTCTCAAACAGCACAGTCAAGCAATAGTAATAATTCTGCTTCCGGAAATCTATTCAAGGAAACAATCCCTAATAAAGCTTTTACTTTACATGCAACAATGCACATAGAATTTTTAATAAAAAATTGGAATCTAAGTCTACTTAGCAAACTTCTCTATTTTTAAGCTATACTTCCCTGCTATTGCTTCGAGATAGTGTTTATTTGGTATCTCAAATATACATGAAGCATACAGTCACGCACTGCTTAATGACGGGGATACATTCTGAGAAATGTGTCATCATGGGCTTTTGTCATTGTGGGAACATTAGGTTACACTTACACAAACCTAGGTGGTGTAGCCCACTACACACCTAGGCTATATGGTATAGCCTATTGCTCACAGGCTACAGCCCCTACAGCACATTACTGTACAAAACAACATTAAATCAAGCTCAGAGAAAATGATGCAACCAAGAGATGCGGTAAACACAGATGTGAGGGTGCTGCCAGCATCACAATGTCCTACAGCAAAGTTATTTTCATAAGCAGAAAGACTCTAAAGTAACAGTAAAAAGTACAGTAAATACATAAACCAGTAAGTCATTTATTTTCATTATCTAATACTATGTACCAATCATTACTGTATGTGCTATACTTTTATGTGACTGGCAGTGCAGTGGGTTTGTTTGCACCAGCAGCACCACAAACAAGTGAGTAATGCATTGTGCTAGGACGTTATGACGGCTACGAGTCACTAGGCAATAGGAATTTTCAGCTCCATTATAACCACATGGGACCACAGTCATATAACTGGTCTGTAGTTGACCAAATGTTATTATGAGGTGCCTGGCTGTACTTCAATTCCTGTACTGGTGATAGAGTACTTTAGTATTTGTTTCATGGTTTAGACTATGAAATCCTTCGGAGAACAAACTAAGACACATTCACATCAGAGTCCTTAGCACATAGCAGTTAATAAATTAATTTTACAAAAATTAAATGTTAAATTATATTGGAGCCACACTTGGATCGGAGTCTAGTCCTACAGAGAAAAAAATTCAAATTTTCTGAAGATATATATAATAAGCAGAAACTGCAAATGTAAGAAGGTATAAGGAACCACCACTAGTCCAGGGGCAACAGATCTCCAGTTAGAGGATGCAGAGGCGGCTGCACTACCCTGACAATGCCAATAAACACAAGTGCTATTTTCATGGAGGGAGTACAGTGAGTCCTCACTTAATGTCACCGATAGGTTCTGTGACTTAAAGCGAAATGACATATAATAAAACCAATTTTACCACAGGCTCATTGACATAAACAAGAATTGTGTTCCTACAGCATCTCATCCACATTACAACAAAATGACATCGAACAAAATGAGTGTTTTTGAGGACCTGCTCATCAACAAAGGAAAGAGACTGTGGTGACACTAACACTGCATATGGTAAGAGTATGGGCTCTGAAGTGATGTGGCCCAGGTCTGAGTCTTGGCTCCGCCTTAACTTCCTCATCCATAAACGAAGGTGACAATGATAAAACCTCCCTTAAAAACTTGTTGTCAGGGTTAAAGGAGATGATGCCTATAAAAGCTTGACAGTGCTTATTAGCATACAGTAAATACTCGATAGAAGTTAATTTTTATTATTGCCGTTAGTATTACCTCTCAATCTCCTGGCCTCTACTTACATCAGCTGATCCAGATGGGATGGAAAGAAATAACCCAGAGAAGTATGGGCAGCATTTGTGGGAACTGTGAGGTTATGGGATTAAAAACTCCACATCCTGGAGGCATAATGATTTCACTGCTTTTTATTACTAGTGATTGGGACTCGGGAAGGCAAGGATAAATATAAAAACTCCAGACAATATTTAAGAGTGGAATTTAGATTTTAAGTCTGGAGTTAAGTCTTGGCCCTGCCACTGAGGCCGGGCGCCCTCGAGCGAGGTACTTCACGTCTCCGAGCCTCACTCAGTTTCCTCGTATCTAACTGGGAGAGAGAACACGTAACCCACAGGAATAATGTGAAGACTGTTGAGATTATAAATAAAAAGTACCTATCAGAGTACCTGATATCTAGCAGATACTGTGGAAACTATATCTTTATTGATACCGTTAATATTTAATTATTATTAAATCTTAGGACCAAAAATATTGTTCTGAAGGAAAAGAGTAAAGTTTTGACGGGGGAACTTTTTCATTCCTTCCTGCATTCCTCTCCAACCCTCTAAAAAACAGTGAGCATTCCACAATACTGTTAAGCTTTCCTCAGAATTAACGATGCAAGAATAAAAAGCAGACTATTACAAAGATAAAAAACACCCTTAGACTAGCTCTAAAGGTTTTTTCCTCCCTCTAGAAAACACTACATTTCTTTAAAGCAACGAGTGCTGAAAAGAATGAAAATGGCATATGGCTGGGGGAATCTTCCAGAGGAACCACTCCACGCAGGCACCCGCTCTTTTCTCTGCCTTTTAAGGTCACGGTAACATGAGAGAAAATCTGGGACTCACACCATCTGTCCAGGCAGTTCTATCACTGCTCATTTCTCTTGTTAAATCATCAGAACACTTCACACTTCCCAAACACTGCCACCATAAAGAACAGTTAAAGCAGAATGAAAGAAGCTCTTTCTACCCAGAATGAAGTGGTTAGAAGTGAACAGTTCTTTTGAGGTTTGTGGGTTTTGGATCAAGTCAGTGAGAACAAACTTAGGCCTTAGAATAAAATTTAAGAACAACAGGATTATCATACTGGCTCTAAAAATTATCTTTCTTAGAAAAAGGTGACATTCCCATATGAATTCTCTAAGAATAGGTTTGGCAGTTTAATATTGAGATAATTATATAGGTTTCTAATCTCCAAATTTCTCATAAGACTAAGAAGAGTCATTTTCTTTACCACGACTACTAGCAGTATTAATAATAGCAGCTATGCCCGGCCGGGCATGGCTCAGCGGTTGAGCGTCGACCTGGGATCCAGGCGATTGGGGTTCGATTCCCAGTCAGGGCACATGCCCGGGAATTGTGGGCTCGATCAATGACTCTCTCATCATTGATGTTTCTATCTCTCTCTCTCCCCCTCTCCTTTCCTCTCTCTGAAGTCAATAAAGGTATATTTAAAAAATAATAATAATAATAGCAGCAGCTAATAATTACTTTGTACTCAGGACATGCTTAATTCTCTTCAAAACACTTTTTGTGTATCAATTCAATCTTTAAAACCACTCTATGCAGCAATTTCTATTATTATTCTCATTTCACACTTCAGGAAACTTAGGTACAGAGAAGTTAAATAACTTTCCCAAGGTAATATACATAGGTGATAAAATGTAGGGCTGGGATTCAAAAGCAAACAGGCTGGCTCCATGCCTTTAATTCTACGCTATACTTTCTTATACCTTGTTTTTAAAAATAAGGTATACATGAAATTTGGCATCTTTATCATATTTTGTTGTTTTTTTGTTTTTTGTTAAATTTATGGACTTTTTAGAGGTTGCTACTTATTTTTTTAAAAAATGTATCTTTATTGATTTGAGAGAGAGGAAAGGAAAGGGAGAGGGAGAGAGAGAAACATCAATGATGAGAGAGTCATTGATCAGATGCCTAATGCATGCCCCCGACTGGGGATCGAGCCCACAACCCAGGCATGTGCCCTGACTGGGAATCAAACCCCGGTCACCTGGATCCTAGGTTGACGCTCAACCGCTGAGCCACACCCGGCCAGGTGTATCATATTTTGTATGAACAAACTGTGGCTGAATGTCAAAAGCATCCCCTCATTCACCTAGTCACAATGAGATTATCAATTACATATTCATTAACTTATAATCACAACTTATTCAGCATGAATGTGCTTGTTGTCAAAAAGCAAAATAAGTCTTTATAATAAATAAAAAGTTTCAAGAATATGCTCCGGGGTCAGTGTCAACTTGGGGATGCTTTATAACTTTGAGAAAAAAGGTCTGGATTACTCTCAAACCTTCAGACCAAGGTTAACTTTACATGAAGCCTCCTTGCCTTCAGATACAGACTCAGCGATGCCAGGAGAGTATGTTAACGTATGAAGGAGAAACCAGGCTGAGTATGGAAGTCCTCTTCTCTGTCACAGAACGTCCCCACTGTGCCCAACGGCTCAATGTATTCAACGATTGAAGCCCCAATCTCAGCTAGTTGGTAAGGTAAATTTATGCCACTGGTCACATAACTGCCCCAATCATGACAGTAATGATATTAATCGCATTAGTGGTCATAGTATTAATAATATTAAATAATAACACCAATAGTAACCACCACTTACTTAATAAGTCCTGAGCACTGTGCTAAGTGCCTCAGATTGTCAAGTATATTGGAGAGGGGGTGGAAAGCAGTGGTTAAAAGTATGACTTCTAGAGATAGGCTGGTGTCTGACTCCTTCACTTATTTGCTATGTGATGCAAAACCAACTAAAAGTTTCACTACCTCACAGACTATCTACCTCTTAGGGCTGCTATGAGAATCCGATGTGTTAATCTATGTAAAATGTTCATAACAGTGCCTGACACACAGTAGTTCTAACCAAATTTAACAGATGAGATGAATGTTCAGGGAAGCAAAGGTCACTTGAGTTCTGGGTCACTGAGGTCTCCAGGTCGGCCTGACTCCAAAGCCCCGCTCTGGGCCTCATCCCCTTCGTGCTCCCTCAGAATGGGGAGTAGGCCAACTGGGTCATAAAGGAGAGCAGAGCCACTCTAATGCTGTTTCTGTCTCTACTCATCAAGGACTTTTACTACGGCAGCATTAAAAAAAATGTTTAAAATGCCAGCCTAACATACTGCATTCCTTTAGTTCTGAAGCAGCCCCCCGCCCCAATTTTTCCATCTGTGAATCCTGTGTCTGATGATTATAATTGGCAGTTCTTCCTTTCTTAGTAGCACATAAAATGGTGCATCTTACAATGCATATCATCTTATATTTGACCAAATATGGTAGCTGTTAGGTCCAATGAGCATCTTTTAAGGATCAGCCCTCAGCCTATGTTAAAGGCACATGCCAGAGCTTTCCCAGTGCCCAGGGCCTCATTTGATCCCAATTTCCTCACTGAAACTTCACTCCACCATGACTACCTCCTTACTGGCCTTCACCCATTCCCATCCAATTATCAAGCTCCTACAGCTCTAACAGTCAATTGTGTTTTGGCTCAGGCTCTGGGCTTGGTTTTATCTTTCTGACAACTCAAGGGCTTCTAATCACAGTGACTCTCTGGACTGACAAACCCAGGGACACTTCCTCCTTGTAGACTGTCCTGATAGGTGGTCCTCACATCCCAAACATACCTGGGCTCTAAGGGTAAGCTGAGAAAGTATTAGCTAGTAACGGAGCCATGACAGAGACTTTTTCCCCTCTAACCTCTGAAGTTATTTCTATAGCCCCTTTAAAAAGTACTTATCTGATGCATACTTAAATTTTTTCCCTGTTTTGGCCTGAGTGCCTCCATTCCACATATGGTCAGTCTCTTCATAGAAGAAAAAAATGTCAAGTTTTACATCATCTTTTCCCTGGAAAGATAGTTCCAAGCTGTCTTCTACCTAGAGGGAAGAGGAAAACCTTCACAGACTGAAACAAAGGAAATATGTATTTTTTAATTAAAAAGACAATCTTTTATATAGAGTACTGATCTTAAGATACATGTTTTTTTAAGCTGCAGCACCTCTGAAATTGGGGTGCATCAGTAGCATGCCATCATTTGAGTTCTTTCTTAAATGCATATAAAATAATGTTGCTTCTCCCAACTGATGGCGACTCAGGGTAGTGGCTTAGCAGTAGTTAAATTCCCACTCTGCTGAACCTCCTGTGCCCAAGCCCCTTTCTGACTAAGAAAAGAACCAAAGACAAATCACTCCCTTGAATAATCAAGTATGACTGTCAGGAAAGTTTTTCGTTACAACCAATGAACAAGTACTTAAGCAAATGTTGTATTACAGAAGCCCATAAATATATATATATATATATATATATCAACCATGGAGCATGGCAATATGTACGTGAAAAACATAAATAAAAGTTAAAGGAACAAAGAATTCTGAGCATATTTTCCAAAAGAATCTTATCCAACAAATAACTGTGTTCCCACTGGACTTGGTGCATCCGTCTGTTACTGAATCAATCACATAATTATTTATGTGGTTTTCCCCTTCCAATTAGACAGTGAGCTCCTCAAAAGCAAGCACGATAACTCATTCACCTTTGTGCCCCAGGTGCAGGGCACAGTGCAGGCACACAGTGCGTGCTGAGTAAATGTTTGCTGAATGACTAGAGCTCTGTTGCTTTCACGTTGACCTTAGGAAAACATTTTATTAATTTTTTAAATAAACAGAATGCTTATGATGAGGAAAGTAATTTTCCAGTGACTAAACATACTTCTACTTGACTTCCTGGACAATACCACCCTAGGAACAAGAACATTATTAGTAAGGTGATGCCTGGCCGGGCGTGGCTCAGCGGTTGAGCGTCGACCTAGGATCCAGGCGATCGGGGTTCGATTCCCGGTCAGGGCACATGCCCAGGTTGTGGGCTGCAGCCGATCAATGACTCTCTCATCACTGATGTTTCTATCCCCCTCTCTCCCCCTCCTTTCCTCTCTCTGAAATCAATAAAGATATATTTACAAAAAACAACCAAGAAAACAATTTAAAAAATACTTTAAAAAAAAAAATAGTAAGGTGATTACAAGGAATCATAGGCATAGGGCAAAGGAATCAAATTGTGTAAAAGGAGATTTCATCTAAGTCACGATGACCTATTCCTAGCTGACCTCTGAGAAAATTGCTGTGACCTAGGACAGATGAAATAAACAAGAAATTCAAGGACTGTTTGAAATGAGTCTCTATTTCTAACTCTTAGCAATCGATGAACTGTTTTCTGTCGATAATGATACAATACCTAAGTGAACATAAAATTAAATGACTCATGAGAAACAACATAACTTCAGGTACGGTAGGTGGTATTCTCACTTATTACATTAATTGTATTTAATATGTTGCATTAATTATATATTATACTGCTGTCTAAGATAATGGGAATTCATCTGCAAAAGCCCAAGGTCTTTCTCTCCTTACTATTAATAGAATGGAATTTTCCAGTTTCCCTTTAATAGTGCAGAGGTCATAAGTGGCAACAAGCTTCTGCTGCTCTCATTCTGGCGAATACTGAGTGATAAAATGACACACGCAACGTTCTCAATCATTTCTGAGTTAATACAAATTTTACTCTTGAGACATGTTACTTATGAAGTGAAGCAGATTTTTATTACTGACCTTCCCAAATTTGTGTTTGAGTGGAAGTCCTGCATCCTGAAATGCTGAAATAATATCAGATCTGTAATCTTGTATAAAAATTCCTAGGTCGACATCTTTACTATAAGGAATAATACTGCACTGCCGATACCATCCTAAAAAAAGAAATAATAAAACTTTTTAAAAAACTTCAGTTTGGAAAAAAAAGTCATTATTATAATGAAAGATCTTTGGATTTTATTTCATAGGATTAGACTTAGTGTGCTTTACTAAGATTATTTTTAAAAATTAAATCCCAAACTGAAATCTGTGGTTACAGAACCCACCTGTTGAAGAACCTTTCCTTCCTTCCTTCCCTCCTTTCTTCCCTCCCTCCTTCCCTCCCTTTCTTCTTCCCTTCCTTCCTTTTATTGGTCTGAGCACTAAGTATCCTCAAAAACTTTCATAATATATTTTAATTTCTGAATAAACCATTAGCTTTAATAATGTTAACTGGGACATCCTTTTTAAAAAATTAAATTACTTTTGAGAATGTTTAATCATAAATCTCTAATGATGAAGGCTGCCTTTAAGATATGCTAAAAAATATAATGCTTAAACAATATCCTTTCCTGAGCAGTAATTTGTAGAACTTAACAGCTCTGAATAGCTCATGTTTGATGGGTCATATAAAAAAGAAAAGCAGTGTCAACCTCGATTTTCAGCATACTGTCAAAAGCCATTTACTGTCAAAAGCTATTTCTAGGTATTTACTATGTATCTACTTCTCAATCAGGTGCTATAGTACTATACTAAGAAAAACAAACAAACAATTTATACCGTCATATTGCTGAGGGCTCCTCAGTCTCCACTATTATTCTTCTAAGCCTTCTGTCCAAATTATTAAAAAAGAAAATAAAGGTCTACGATTAGCTTTATAGGCAGTACTATCAGGCAGTACTGTTTGGAATTCTAAACTTCCATTTTATTTAACACGGATCTTTAGAAGCCTAGGATGGGGAGGATCTCACCTGTAGTTTAAGAAAAATCTACAATCTACATCTGTAAAATGGAGCTATTTTAAAACAGTTTATTCATAAACTATTAAAAATGGAAGGCTCTTTAATATAATATAATCCAGCCCCCTCATTTTACAAATGCCCTTAGATTAAAAAACAACAAAAAACATGGGGCTAAAAGCTCAAAACAAACCATGACAAATGATTAACAAGTATTTCTGATGACACAGTTGATAAAACTATTTTGCTTTAAAAGTTCAACCTGAAAGCATGTACCACACACGTGCATGAGACGTCCTTTCCCGGCTTCCTCCAGCTGTCAGTTCCCCGTGGGGAAGAGCCACGTGACTCTCCCACAAAGTCTGACAGACAGCATAACCAGATATCCCAGTCTACGCCTACTGCCCTGCATAATTATTAATGGGGCTCCCTTTCACTCTCAAAAGCCTCTTGAATTAGGAATAAATTACATGGCAATCCTATAAAAGCAGGGGCAGAATTAATTTTTGTACTAACACAGTTATAATCAAGAAAGAACCGATTATAGCCAACTTCAGTCCTAAACGGGAGGGAATAAAAGCTACAGAATTGAAGACTCTCAGTAGCTTGACGTTCCAAAGAAGGCCGGGCCAAAGCATGGCACAGTGAGCCCGAAGTCCTTCTCAGATTCTAACAGCAACTCCTCAGCGCAGGACAGTCCCCACTTCCCCGTCGCACTGAACAGGGTGTGGTTAAGGCAGCTGTCCCATCAGCGACACTATAGACGACCTGGAAAAAGTGTGTGGAAGATCTCATGGCTCTGCCTTCGGCGTTTCTCCTGGTGGAAACTTTTGTTGCGAGCAAGTTGTTTGCATGATGTGTAAGTAAAGAAACTGAATAGTTTTGTTTTTTTTAAAAAATACAACCATAATCTTTGGGATAGAAATAATAACATGCTAATGTGAGGATTACCTGAAAATCAAATACAGTCTACATGTTCTGATGTAAGTTTTAAACACATGAATTATAATTTTTGTTAAACACAAATGTGACCTTCCTAACTCACTTTCTTTTTTTTAAAAATGTATCTTTATTGATTTCAGAGAGAGGAAAGGAGAGGGAGAGAGAGAGATAGAAACATCAACGATGAGAGAGTCATTGATCGAACCCACAACCCAGGCATGTGCCCTGACCGGAAATCAAACCCTGATCGCCTGGATCCTAGGTGGAAGCTCAACCGCTGAGCCACGCCCGGCTGGGCCCCAACTCACTTTTATGTTCCTGAAATTAATTTCTCTAAAGAAATCAATAAATTCTTGCTCCACGCACTACATTTATTCTACATATGACACTTCCACTATCACTGACATTGTGTCATCTCAAGCAGTCATCCCTAAAGCCAAAGACGACAAAATGACACCAAGACAAATGTAAAGCCACAAGAATTTTACCTAGACAGGTTCCGCTGCTCAGCCAGAACCGGACTCCCAATTTCTTTAATGTTTTGGCTGCGAGTTGCAACAATTCCTTTGCACTCTTCCGAAAGGTCATGGCTTCCACAGTGCTATCATCAAGGTACTGCTACAGATACAATAAATAGTCAGCTATTACAGCCACTCCTAAATTGCTAGAAACATTTCTGTGACATCCAAATTAAATTTGAAAATTAGCACCATATATTTTTTTACTATAAAAATAAAGTTTCAGAGTTTCCAGTTAGTCACACATTTATTTCCTGGAGTTTCCTTCCAAGAAACCTGTGTACACAAGAACAGGAGTACCAAAGAACAGGAGTAGAATGTGCAGCAACACCCAAATAGCAATGAGCACAACTGGCACCCAGATCTTGGCTTCTAAAAGCAACCAGGACTTAAAGAAATGGTTGATTCCAGGGTTGTGGCAGGGAAATTTACAAAATGAACCTAGAATACCTTGTGCCAAAAAGCAAGAAAATGCTCAAAAAATGATGGAGACATGTCAAAAACACACAGAAGTCATCATGAAGGGGTTCCCAATGGACAAATAAGGAACAATTATAGGATCAAAATAAATAATAAAATAATTGCAAGAATAGAAAACCATGAGTTCATACTGATATAAACAAATAAATGGAAAGTTTGATGATGACATTGACAATATTTACAGAGTTTTAAAGTAGGTTTATGCCAAATACTATTAATTACAAAGGTAAAAAGTAGAAATTCCCCAGGGTTGAAGCCAGTGGACAGCACTGTAATCAAGTGATCAATGTCACTGTCAACAGTAATGGGACAAATCAAAGTCATACGGCACTTGAGAGGATGTAAGGAAAAGAGCACAGCATCACCTATGTGACTCCCAGTAAACCTGTATAACCCGGATCTAACATGACGAAAAACCAGACAAACCCCAGATAAGGTAGAATTTACAAAATCCAAAAGTATCAAGGTCATGAAAGTAAAAAATAGACTCTGAAACTGTGCCAGACTAAAGGAGACTGAAGAGACAAGGAAATTAAATATGTGATGCTAAACAATCCTTTTGTTCCAATGGTTATTACTAGGACAATTAGAAAAACCTTAATGGGGATTAAATGGTATTAATCTATGTGTTAATTTCCTGATTTTTGATTAAGCCCCGTGGAGAATATTCTTGTGTTTAGGAAATATTAAATTATTTGATGTTATGAGGTATATGGCCTACAACTTATTCCCAAATGGTTCAGGGAATAAAAAAATATTTGTATTGTATTTGCAACTTTTCTAAAAGTTTGAGAATGTTTCAAAATAAATTGTAATTTTTAAAAAAGTTTGGAGGCTGCATTGTGCGATTTTCAGATTAGTTCACTGCTTGTTTCACACCAGGCATTGTATTTAAGACAGTCTGGCGCCATCAAGTGCTCAAAGTTATGTATGTTCACTTTAATTTGAAAATAGACCCTGCTGGTATTTTTAATTATGGTTTTAACATAAGGAATGACGAAGAGTGAAACATTTAAGAGGATAAAAACTTTAAAAAGTTATCGATCCCATCACGCACTCTATATTAGTAATACCAATACATTAGCAGAAGAGGAAAGAACAAAGGAGGAATCACAGGTCTGTATTGGGGCTGTGATGGACACAGACAACGTGAAGAATGAATACGAAGTTCCACCTGATCGTGTTACGAATATAAACCTCCAGGCAGCGCTGCAGTCTTGCTTGTGATGGTACTTTAAACATCAAAACTATGAACCTGTGATAAACTAAGCTGCATCGGTCATCCATACTCTACACAAATGCTGATTGCCCTCAAAATCTCAAAAGAATGAAAATATGGAATTAAAAAATATGACACTATCTCCATGATTTCTCAATAGTTTGAAACATTTTAAATTTTACACTGCGTTCCCACAGAGACCAACAAATGAGTCTGGGCAAATGCTTACTAGGTCATGGAGTAGCTCTAATCAGTGTCCCTAAAAAAAATCATTTCGTTCAAATAAGCACACTATTCTCCATGCATTCTGCCCTGGTTATAGGATCTTTTCTTTGTGCCAGGTACATGCTAGATACTGGGGCAACAGCGGTGAGTAAAGTAAGATGTCTGCCATCGAGAAGTTCACATAATCTAGCAGGGGGAGAAGAGACACATTCACAATTCACTGTGATAATTACTATGCCAGGGGTGGCAACCAAATTAAACTTCCTTAAGGCAGAAGGAGTGGACAGTCAAGTTCAAGCACCAGGCCACATGTCTTCTACTTCTTGTTACCAGGTGGTAGGGGTATGATGGGCAGCACCTGCCCACTAAAGCAGGCTGTCCACACATGCAGTTTTCCAGCTTTTCGTCCACGAGGCTGTCTGGGTGTGTTCACAGCTCCACAATTACAGATTTAAACGAACAGTGTTAGGAAGGCTCACTTGGGCCTACATCCTGGGGGTGAGCACAGCCAATTAGAGAAACCTTGCATTTGCTGGTGCTGGGCACTTGACCAGTGATAATATAGCTGGTACATTTTCCCACTCTGCTCCTGTACTGTGTACACAGCTTTCTTAGAAGGGAACCCCAGAAAATAAAGGGCAGGTGTAAGAAATAAGGTACCAAAACCCCACTGTAAATTCCACTGTTTTCCCATTTTTCTGTTTCATGTCATTGCTTAGAGATGCACTTTCATGCCCTTCAAAATCATCTTTATATCCCCGGGGTCAGCAGAGTTCCTGGGAGACAGGCTTTTAATAAATGTTTATTGAGTTGAAAGCCAGGGGCAGCAGAATAAAGTAAAGTTCAAAAGCACTTGGTCTTTGTGTAGCATTTATCTTCAAAACCCTCATAAACACAAAAAATTTCATATTCAGTGCCAATCCTCTGAGAAAAACTGTATTTTCCGTGAAATTTTCTCTAAGATTTTCCCCCATGGCCCATCTTCTGCAGCGGCTTCCTCCTGGCTGGAGTGCTTCAAGAACAGAATGCACATGGAGTTTATGGGCCACATCCTAACTGGAATCAGAGGCCAGTGCTAACCTACCAAAGTCTAGCCAATAAAACAAGGTCTCCATACATATCAAACCATGTCAAACAGTTTCTTAAGATACAGTTTAGTCTACTTTTTTAAAAATAAAAAGAAAACAATCTAGGAGAAAATAAATGAATCAAAAAAATGTTTTCTACCTATTTTCCATAAGTCCCTTCATCTGCCCCCACCCCCTGAAAAGTAAAAACAAACACACTTCCTTTAATTTGAAAAGTATACTATTTGGTTATCGCTAACCTGAAAGAATGCTCGAGCTTCTTTATACCGACACTCAATAAACCTAGAGTGTGGTATTTCTTCTAGAAAGTGCACTGGATCTTTTGGAATGAGAACTTCTAGTCCATCAACAGTAATCTGCTGTAATTCTGGCCTGAAAACAAAAGTTAAGATTTGTTGCAAGGACTTAACCCAAAGCAAGTACTGGCAGCCTCTTCAAAACATACAGCATAAGCAAAATTGCTAAACATCAAGCATATTTTCTTCAATTACCTCAGATATCAATTTTTAAGATCTACTCTCTTAGCAACTTTCAAATATCCAGTACTGCAGTGTTTCTATAGTCACTTTACTGTATATTACATCCCAGAGCTTATTTCCCTCGTAACTGGAAGTTTGTACCTTTTGACCACTTTTACTACGTACGTATATATCCACGAACACACTTTATCCTGTGTTTGAACTTTGTATAAATAGAATCATAAGATTTGCATTCTTTTATGCCTTGCCTCTGCCACCCAACACTTCAGGATTCATCTCTGTTGCGGCAGAGTCCACTAGTGCCCTTCGTTTCTCTGTTCTACACTACTACTCACTGCATGGATATATGATGTTTTGTTTGAGGGCATTAAGAACAATGTTGCTATGGACATTCTTATATATAGTTCCTGGTGCGTCTGTGCATGAATTTCTTCCTCATGAGGGATATTCGCATTTCAAACTGAGCTATGTGAACTGCATGCTAGATTTAATTACTGAATGTAAAAAAAAGAGTAAGAAGTCATGACTGGATGATACAGGTTTCACACTTCCCCTTTAGACCCAGAATTTACCTGTCAAAAGCTCCTGGAAAACGACCAAACTGTAACTTTCGAAAAGGAACAAACTTCTTGTCGATGTGTCCTTTGAGGCGTAGATGACCATGCCAGAGGTAGTTGCCGCTCCTCTCGTAAAAGACCACCAAGTGGATGGCATGTGTGGCCAGTTTGCAGATGTAGTGCAGGGGGATTTCAGTTCCAGAAAGCGAGTCTATCCCATCCAGCCGGGGGTCTTTGCTCTCAATCTTCAGGCACTGAAATCCCATGTTTTCAGCTATCCGAAACCAGCCTTCCTAAAACCAAAGAAACATCAAACATGAATATTTAAAACTAAATACTAGTAGCAAAACTAAAATGATTCTCATACTGAATGAAGCCATACATATTTTTGTGCTAATCTGTTCTTTGCCTGAAGATTTTAAAATGAGGGTGGCGAGGGGAAGGAGGTAGTGGGAGAAAAAAGAAAAGTACCAAAGAGAGAAACTAAGTAGCTTGAAAGACATGTTCAAAGACTCTCTTTATGAAAATATATACAAATTTCTTCCCTGGAATGAGAACACTCATTTTAGTGTTCTCTTATTAATATATATAAAATAAACGTTAATATACATAAGGATAGAACTTGTAATTCTCAATTTAACTTCTAATACTCTTTACCCTCAAACATGCTTGAAAGAAGTAGTGCTTTCATCCTATATACCCCAACACCTTAAACTGCTACTATAATAGATGCCCATCATAATGCAAATCAGTAGGAGACATACTATGAAACAAAGTGCATTTTCTAACATCATTAGTTATAACATAAATCTCATATAACAAGATAAATATAGATGGCAGATTTCTAGTCCTAATTTCAACAACCAATGCTATAGATTATTAAACAGTGTTCGTTATAAAGAACACCTTATGTTTGAATAGGAATTTACAATATTCAAGGAACTTTTATAAACATTATTGCATTTACTTATGACATCTATCTTATAAAGTAAGTAGTACAGGTATTATAAAGAAACAGACTTACGGAAATCTAAAGGAACAAAATTAATAATACCAGCAGTTTGCTCTGGACTAGCCTCGACGATGAAAGACACAAGCATCAAGCACCTCCACTGCCACGTCTGACAGCCAGCCATCCCGGGGAGGCAGAGCTGCCTAGCTGACTGGCAGCTGCCTAAGTGAGTCTTAGCTGAGACCAGAAGCACTGCCCAGCTGAATCCTACCTAAACAGCTAAGTCACAGATTCATGAGCTACATAAATGGGTGTTGTTTATGCCACTACATTTTGGGGTGATTTTGTTTCCCAACAGAAGCTAATTGCTACATAAGTCAAATTAGAAATCAAATGTGCAAGCAAAAGGAAACATTTTTGACATGCAGGGTTTCCACCTCTCATTCACCCTTTCTAGAAGGGAATTCCTGAAATGTGAAGGAGAGTTACGGAGCACTATCTGCACAGCAGATCAGCCTGTATCAGGGCAGAAAGACCAGGAGCTCTAGGAGGTATGTCGCCAAGAAAAAAAAATTAAACTGAGAGATTACCTGATATGATAGATCCTATTGAGAGTATTAGAGTTGTTTGTTTGTTTTTTGTGTTTTAAATATATTTTTATTGATTTCAGAAAGAGGAAGGGAGGAGAGAGAGATAGAAACATCAATGATGAGAGTCAGTGATCAAGTTGGGGATCGAGCCCGCAACCTGGGCATGTGCCCTGACAGGGAATCGAATCTCGACCTCCTGGATCATAGGTTGATGCTCAACTGCTGAGTCAAGCCAGCCAGGCAAGATATTAGAGTTCTATATTTCTGTTGCAGAGTTCACACATGGATTGATAGATACAGGGGTAGGAGAAAGTAGGTTTACAGATGTGAGTATGTGAAACACAGAGTTTATTCTTGTATTATTATTTATTTAATTATTGTATTATTTATTATTGTATAACAACTCTAAACCTACTTTTGTCTACCTCTGTATATAAAATACTAGCAATCAACAAAGGAGAAAAAAAGAGTTGTATAAGAAAAGAAATTTAATCAGAGTAAACTAGGTAGCACCTGTGTGATTATATTTTCATAATAATACTGATTTAACTAGAAAATTTTATCATCATTTCAGGATGATTATGGGAGAAGAGACAGAGAGAGTGTGTGTGTGACAAAATAGACACAAGAGCTAACTTCTCATAATTCATAATATAAATGTGCTATATTTAAAAAAGGAAGCATAAACATTTCATTTATAAATGAGAAGGTAAAGTAGACAGTTGAAAGTGGCTGGTCCCAGGAGTGGGAGTAAGGGGTAGGGAGAGAAGAGGCAGATACTGTTCTTTTTCATTATGAGCTTCGCGTGACTATCTGACTTTTAATACATTGTTTTTTATTATTAATGATTTGAGAGAGGGAGGGAGGGAAAGGGAGAGAGAGAGAAACATCAACTGGCTGCCTCCTGCATGGCCCCAACAGGAATCCAGCCTGCAACCTGGGCATGTGCCCCGATGGGGAATGGAACCAGTGACCTCTGGGTCACTCAACCGAGTCACACCAGCCAGGGCACTGTCTGAGTCAAAGTTCATTCTCTGGAGGCCCTGGGTAAGAGTTTGGGGCAATCCAGGAAACATGCAACTTCTCCTGCTTTCCCAAGCCACATGGTCGCCCTGGGGTGTAACCCCACCTGTCACAGGTTACAGAGCTGAACAGATTCCACTGCAGAACTAGTACACACACTATCACGGGTGGCTGACTGGCTAGTTGAGTTCATTTAGTCTGATGCTAATTTTCATATTCTTACTTGAATAACTCCTCAGAATGAAAAACAGTAAAGCTGGGAATTTAGAGGTATTCAAAATAAAGCAGCAAAGTTTTGGCGTGTTTAATTGAGACTTTTTTTTTTACTACTGTGTGACTTTTAAGTGTATGTTTGAATTTCTGGATACACCTAAGCAGCATCCACTCTAGTAGTAAACAAGTACTGTGCACTTACAAAGTAGAAAGAATGGCGCTATAGGTTAGGATTACCACCTCCACATATATCTTGTGTGGCAGATTCTGAAAATTCATCGCCAAGTCCCCTCCTACTGGCCTGCCTACATGGGTGGAAAGGCTAAATACCTGTCTTTTTAGCCTCTTTCACAACAAGGAGACATATGAATATAGCTCTGGGCTGTGAGCTATAAGTAGTTCACCACCAGCAGCTGAGAAAACTTTTACTTCTAAAGATGGACATTATCACCATCCTTTCCTGTGACCTTCCTGCCTTGAACATGAGCATGGTGCCTGGGAGCTAGGACAGCTGTCCAGTGAGGGATATAAGGCCTGGTGTCAGTAGGCAGCTGAATTAATACCAACAGCCACCAACCTTTCAACATCTGGTTATACAAGAAAAAGAAATCCCCTATCTGCTTAAGCTATTACTTTTTAAAAAATTTATTTTTGAATTAGGTTGACATTCAATATTATACTAGTTTCAGATGGCCAGCATAGTGGTTAGACATTTATATAACTTACAAATTGATCCCCCCAATAAATTTATTCCCCCAATAAGCCCAAAACTATGACACCAGGCATAGTTATTAAAATGTTATTGACTATATTCCCTATGCTGTACTTTACATGCTTAAGCTATTATTGTGTCATTATTTATAGCTGGAAATATTCCTCGTACAATTTATAAAAAGCTTTTAGAAAATTTTTTAATGTTTTACATTTTAAGTGGTATCACCTCAGATTCTCTTGTAAAGACCTTCCGTTGTCTGAAAGCAGATCATCGTACCTCATTCTTCCACAGGTGATCCTGCAGTGCAAAGGCAGTGAAGTCTCTTGGAGCACAGAAAAAGCTGCATTCTGAAGTGGAGCCATGAGAAGTGTTTCTGACTTGTTCCAAGTTTTTATTAATCAATTCCAGAATCAAAGGATCAATAAGGAACACAGGTACATTCTGGCTCGATGTTAGCATAATAAATTTTTTAACTGCACGCTGTTTGAGAGGAAAAGAATCTCCTTAATTCTACTAAACCAATACAATAATCTATCTTATTAAATTTTATTCACTGATTTTGTAAGTATATATATAGTGTTTACTCAGTAGACACCATCCTTATTCTTATGCTAAAGTAATAATAATAATAATACATGGTTGTTACTCTCAAGAAGTACAGTCTACTGAAGAAGATGAACAGATATTTACATATCAAGGTAAAGCACATGCAACATATTATAAAGTACAAAATAGTAAGCTACTAATTAATTGTACAACAAAAGGATAAGAAAATCTTTGTAGAGAAAGTGGTATCAGAGATGAAACTTCAAGCTTACAAATTATTCTCTTGGTATTAGCTAAATCTGTTCAAGCAAAAGATGAAATACTAGATCTGTCAGCTTTTAAAAATCAGTCATGTCAACCTTTTCAAAACCAAAAGTCATTGTATGTGCCACTTTCCTTCATATTTATAATACTACTTAATAATCTTTCTAAGCAAAAGACCCCAATTAAAATACATTGCCAGCTTAACCCTTCCCATATATAGTTCAACTTTCTAATAATACTGCAATGTTTTTAGATGTTATTGTGTTGGACAGTAACTAGAGTCCTCTACTGAAGAAATAAAATTTAAAATTAGAATAGAAACAAACTAAATTACACTTAGGAGTAAACAATACCTAAGAATAGCAAAAATAAATAAAGGGTGTACATTATTGTTTAAAAGCCTACTTCAATGCAAGCAATTATGATCTCAAAGAAATGTATGCCCTTCAAAAAAGAAAGAAAATTATAAACCACCAGTCTTCATGAACATAGATGCAAAAATACTTAACAAGACACTGTTAAGTGTCAATTCCAGTAGTTTTTTTAAAAGAAGAAAAAAAAAGTAAATATCATATCATATCATGACCAAAAAGAATTTCTCCCAGGGAAAAAAGACAGCATTTGAAAATCAATCAATGAAACTCATCATATCAACAGAATAAAGGGGGGTGAAATCTAGAAGAATATCAATACAGAAAAAGTATTTGACAAAATTCAATACCTATTAACAATTAAGCAAACCAGGAATAGAACACTTCCTTAATTTGATAAAAAGTATGAACCAAAAATCTATTATTGAGTTGTAGAAGTTTTTATTTATCATTGATACTAGTTTTATGTCAGATACGTTCTGCAAATATCTTCTAGTCTGTGGCAAGTCTATTCATTTTCTTAATGCTGTCTTTTGATGAGAAGTTTTAAATTTTGATAGTCTAATCAATTTTTCTCCTTTTTGGTTTTTGCGTTCTGTGCTTTACACTAGAATAAAGGCGAAAGAAATGGTTTTGAGAGAAAGATGATGAGATGACAGACACTAGTACAAATAAAGTCATGTCAATTTAGTCACCTTCTAAATCTGCCTTCCAGGTTGTTATCAATGCAATCATCAATGCTCCTTGGAAACGGATGTCCAATAGCCTCTAAATCCAATTAATTCTTAATTGACATGACTACTGTCATCTGGCCTTCAGTAATTCATTTCGTTTACAAGAAAGAAAATTGTCTTGTTGAAAATAGGACACTAGAATAGCCTGTTCATCTGCCAGTGTACACAATTTTATCAGAACCTAAAACGCTTGTTGGGATTTGTTCTTAGTGAAAAGCTAGGTCTTAACAATCATCATTTTCTTTTCTAAGTGCTTTCATGGTATCTGTTTAATAATTCACTCTAGAATTTTATTAGGGCTCAGTATCACACTTATTGATCAGAGTTCACCTTTCATTCCTTCTAAAATATTGGAACAAAAGTATTTCAGTACTTCTTCCTTCCCTGTCATTAAGCAACTATTGTAAAGACTGACTTTTAGTGCTGTAAGCTGCTCTCTACGTTTCTGCTCATGTACCTTGGAAGTAAACCTTTTGTAAAAATCCGTTATTTTCTTCCACCTCAAGGATCATTCCCTGAATGAAAAAGATGTGGCTGCCCTACTTTTCCTGCTATGTGAAGCTTTAAATGATTCACAAATTCCATTTAAAAATGTATCAATGAACCTGTACCTCTGCTGAATGCTTTATATACTAAAGGTTTGGGAAGTGCTGTTGGTTAATCCAGACAAAGTAAAGACTTCTATCTCACTGAAACCATTACAGCTTTAAAACTTTTTCTGAACATGCTCTTTCAGTTTACATATAAGCAATCTTAATAAATGGCAAACTTGGAAAGTATATGTTACCTTAAGTATCATACTTTAGAATTTTAAAATTTATAATAGAGAACCTCCATTGTCTTCAGATGGGTATATTTCCCAGCTGTTAAAAACCAAATTTCAAATCTCAACAAATGATTTCACTCACAGGACAATAAACTTGGCCCAAATGTTACCTCTGTGTTTTTCTTAAGGGTAGGATGGAGGCAGAGTGGGGTTAGACAGAATGCACAAAATGCCCCTTTTTATTTCTTTTACTAGATTCTTTAAAATTGTGACTGAGGAGAATGAACTCTAAGTGTGTCATCCCTTTTCCCTTTTCCCTCAGGTTATCCTAAGTGCAACAAGCAAAACATATGCTATTTTTAATAAATTAAGTTTACACTGAAATGTTTATGTATGGTGTCAGGTGGGTACTACATGTATTGAGAGGACCACTTTGTAAGTTATATCAATGTCTAACCACTATGCTGTACACCAGAAATTAATACTGAATGTCAACTGTAATTGAAATTTTTTTTTAATGTTTTAAAGTTCACATTGATACTTCTAGACATGATAGTTGAGGAGTCTAATAATACAATATCCCAGACTTTACCCTTAAAATAGTGGGTTCAAATTCAGTTGGTGTCACCAATGACCTAAAATTATCACTAGTACTTTATTGCTGCTGGTGATTTGAAAGCCCACTTCTAATATACAGCTTTTCATAACTCTGATTAAACAGAAGCCAAAGATTGAGAAATATCTGGTCATATCCAAAATGTATACTACCAGGAGAAATGTAATTTTAGTAACCTAGCTTTGTTTTTCATTCTAAGTTTAGCAAAAAAAAAAAGAAAGAAACTACGTTTTATAAATGTGCAGGCTCTGAAATTTGTAAACCAAAACAGGGATATATTGTAATATTGCTAGTTTCTCTTATCTTATAAAGGAAACATGTTGAATAGGCTTTTATTCCTAGTCATCATTTTATAGTTCAGTTCTTTTTTTTTTTTTAAGATTATTTATTTATTTATTTATTTATTTTTTAAAATATATCTTTATTGATTTCAGAGAGAGGAAAGGAGAGGGAGAGAGAGAAATAGAAACATCAATGATGAGAGAGTCACTGATTGAGCCCGCAACCGGGCATGTGCCCTGACCGGGAATCGAACCCCGATTGCCTGGATCCTAGGTCGACGCTCAACTGCTGAGCCATGCCCGGCCGGGCTATAGTTCAGTTCTTAATAACATATTTACTCATTTGGGGAAGCACTATAGCTAAGTGAATGACAGTTTTGGAGGCAAACAGAACCTGGACTCAGTCACTTACTAGCAAACTAACCTGAATCTCCTTAAGTGAACTACGGATAACAATGTACTGACTTGTTAAGAGTTTCCATGAGGACTAAATAAGACATAGCATATAAAGCACTGGGCATAGGGCCTGCCCCTCGACCACCTCAACTACTCCTCACCAAGGTAGCTATTATTATTGTCATCATACAACCAATACTTAATGAATATATAAATGAATAAACTAAAATAAACACTGTAGTTGAGGGATTTCTCGCTTATTGTACTTACCCATTGTATGCTCTCAAATCCAATTCGGCTTCCTTTGGATTTTGATAAATCAGCTCCATTCTAGGAAGATAACAAAAGAACATTTGAGTAAACCCAAAGCTCAGTAACCAGCATGCGACATTACATTTAAGGAGACATGATATTCAAACTACATAACTGGCTCATAATCATTAATAAGCATTCAAGAACCTATGTTCATAGTCAGGAGCTAAGAATTCTACAATTACACAATACAACTATCCAAGATAGAAAACACTGACAGATTGCAATAAGTTAATTAAGTTATTAAACAATAAAGTATATCTAGCCAACATCTCTAAACTAATTAATGTCCACCAATAAACAGTCAACTCATGGCTATTCCAAATCTCTTTGGAAAAAGTGTTTACCCATTTAGCTCCACATCCCTAATTTCAGCTTATCTCCAAACACTGAGTTAGTGTTAGTACACCTTGGCAAAGTGGTAAGAAAGCATGATAATATTTACTGAGCAGCTCCTAAGTGAACTGTGTTTGACATTTCCATATATGAATTATATATTCTTATTTATCTCGCATAACAATCTTGCAAAGTAGGCATTATTTCTGTTTCACAGACAGCTCCAGTGCCCACACTTTTCCCAGCATGCGTCATAACTTCAAATGTTGAGGTTTTTAAAAAATATTTTTTAAAATATTCAGGCCTAGAGAATCAGTTTTCATTGGATAAGCCCCCAAATACTCTGAAAGTAACAGGAAAAAGAATGTCTGATGGTCTAGAGGTAAGAGGAAGAATGTTTCACACTCAAAGAAGATTCAAAGAGGTTTCTTATGCCTTGAATGTGTTCCTTCTCTATAAGATATAAATGGGAGGATGCTGAAGAACAATTAGAACAGTCTCACCCTAAAAATAAAATGTGCTCCAAGTCCTAAAATGGAGACTCGTCTCATCCTAAACCACAAACTCAAGGACAGGGAAGAAATCCAATTCATCTTAGTATTGCCAGTGTCTATCACGTGCCTGGTTATTAGTAAATGCTTAATAAGAGTTTGTTAACTGGAGGGAAGGAGGGAAGAAAGGAAGGAGGGATATACTGAGTAATTAAGGTAGAGTCAGAACTGGTCTCTTCTCACAAGCACAGCAACTTAGACAACATTTTAGTAGCAAGGGATATTTGAGGGAAAAAACAACAAAGTGGCAGCTTTGTAATTCCCACCAGCATAAAAACAGAGTATCATCTCCCCTATCTTAAAATAGTAATTGAAAAAAACACCCTCTTGACTTCTCTTTTCCCAACTAACAATTTTCTGTCACTCTTTACAGCAAAATTCCTAATGTGGGTTTTCACTGCCTCTAATTCCTCTCCTTCCAGGAACTCACTTGAGATTAAATTCACTCTGGCCTTGTCTCATTTGATCTATCAAGAACTGCTGATCACTCTGCCTCTCTTAAACATTTCATTCACCTGGCTTTCAGGATCCCCACACTTCTGGTTTTCCTACTATACCTCTCTGGCAACTCCTTCTTGGTCTCATTTCCTAAGTTCTTACTACCTCCCTGACATGTTGGAGGCTCTGAAAGCTCAGACAGAGACTTCGCTCTCTCATATACTCTACGTTCACTTCCTTGGTAACTTGTCTACTCATATGGCTTTAAATACCATCTATATGCTTACAACTCCCAATTTATATTCCCAACCATACCAGTCCTTTGAAATCCAAACTTATATATCCACTGTCTATTTACCTTCTTCATTTGGACGTCAAATAGGCATAGACAAAAAAACCTCCTGATCTTCACTACCCCTCAGTTTCTCCCAGTTCTTCCCATATCAGTAATCAACTTCTCCCTTCCAATTATCTAGACCAAAAATACGATAGTTCCCAGACTCTTCTTTCATACCCTACATCGAGCCCATCAACAAGTCCTGATAGCTCTACTTTCCCTTCTCCACCATTAACGTCCTAGTCCAAGCCATTGTCACCCTGTGTAAATTACTAGAATCACCCTCTAACTTGTCTCTGTGTTTTGGCTCCTTCCCCTACAATCTATTTTCAACAGAGATGTTCTACCAAAATTATGAATCACTGAGTTCTTTCCAATGAGAGACGATCTGTTTAGAAGAATAAGAATTTTTACATAACTACATCAGAAAAATCCAACAGATATAAACATCACTGAAACTTAGCACCTTTGACTTTTAACTTAGTGTTGTTACAATAACATTTCATTGCAATTCTGAGTTGCTTGCCACACCCACAATGATGAAAACTGCAGTAAGAAATATTTCTGCAAAGATCTGAAAAACTGTGATTAATTTATGTGCTACAAAAGGGAAGTAAGTATGTTAGGAAAATACACAGCTAAATGAAGCCTAATGATGAGAAAGGATAAAAAAAAAAAATTACCTTTGCTGATAAATAGTGCTTGTAGTAGTACAACTGAAACAGCAGAAACGCAGAACTCGTCAAAGTTAAAAGCGCCAGAATCACGTTCTTATTGAGTCTACTCATTAGTCTGTGGTGCTTGGTTGGTTGTCTTTCGAAAGTAACCCAGCTGGTTTCATCTTTTTGGATAAAAAGATAACCTTGTTTTCCATAAACAAGGAGGTATTTCTAAAGAGACAAAAACCTGTTTTTAATTTTTCACCTCTGATAACCAGCAACAGAAAAAAAAGTTATCTACAGCTCCACAGAACACACTTTGATTTGGTAACTTCCTATCGTGAAGAAACAATCAGTTCTGAGGACAAACGTGAAAGAACAAAAATGTTTATCATGGCATTCTTTACAATTGCAAATAACAAAAACCATACATGGGATATTTATAAAAACTGACCGACAGGGATTGGGGCTTCTCCCCCAGTTTCTGGTTCAGTAGACCTGGTGTGGGGCCCTTGAATTTGCATTTCTGACAAGCTCCTGGGTGATGTTGCTGCTGCTGACCATGCTAAAAACCACTTCCATAGGGAGAAGAAATCGAAAAGTTTTTGGCCAAGGAACATCATCTATAGGATAGCTCTTTGTTGCTTTTTGTGACCTAGGATGTGATCAGTTTTTACAAATATCCCAGGTATGTTCTCAGTTTTTGCAAGTGTAAGGCCATGAGAAAAATTTTTGTTCTTTCACCTTTAGTCTCATCTGTTTATTTCTTTAGGGCAAGAAATTTAATATAGTTCTAGTTCCTCTTGTCTCCTCTCCACTGTTTGATTTTGGTTAAATATATTTAGTTCTTCAAGGGCTTATCTTTATTCCTTTAATTATACTAACACCTCTGTTACTTGATATCTAAACTTTATGTCTTTTGTTCTCCAGCTAAAAATAAAAGGAAACAGCAAGTTTATACTACCTCCTGCCTTCTCTTTCAATCCTGACTTTTATTAGTTATTTCTGCCTTGTTATAGTTCTATTATACTCTGTAACTACCGATCTCACAGTTATGTTGGCCCCATCCATACTGTGTTCCCTGCCACTCCTTTTGCTATCATCTCTGCTCATTTACTGGATGGCTGATGTGCAGCTTCTCAGTTTACCAATCCCAGCTTTTTCTACTGGGCTTCCCTCTTGTCCCCAATTCCTGCTGCTCGGCTTCATCGTTCTCTTTGACATGTGACAGGCTGAGGTTCATTCTTGGGAAACCCGCAACCTTCAGAAGTAGAAAGAGCCTGATGTCATCCAGGTCCTCGTTAGACATCTGAGAAAACGGAGGCCCAGAGAGAAGCGACTGGCCTCTTGTTACCTGAGAGATGGGTGATGGTGATGACACCTAAACTCGGCTCTCCAGATCCCTACCCAGAGCTTCTCACAGTCACCTCTGCACACACCCAATCTTTCCCGACATCGCCCGACTGGCCGGCAAACAGAGGGAGACGTCAAAGCCTTATGGGGCTTTACTTAGCATGGCCGGCAGTATCCACGCCATTATTATGCGCGCACTGCCTGCTTCGGTAAAAAATCCTGCACACAGACTAAACGTTGATCCCAGGGGTAGAGCACCGGAAGAGAAAAGGGATGGCTAATTGAATCAAGCCCTCCCGGTGGAGCTGCTGCAGCCCCGCGCCGGCTGCGGGGC